GGGGGGGGGGGGGGGGGGGGGGGGGGGGGGGGGATTCGGCCAGAGCGGAGTGAAGCTTTTTTAACAATTTTAATTTTTTTTGTTTTTTTCTTTTTTTTAACACACAAGGTCCCATCTATTCTGGGTGGCATCAGTCCGGTTACTTACCACCGGCAAGCATGAGTTCAAGGAGCGATAGTAGCAGGGATAGAAATCAGCCAAGCCCTTGCAGTACTAGTCGCCTGTCAAGGGGGGGACTGCTACAGGCCATCCCACCTCCCAAACCATAGCCTCCTCTGTGATGCTTCTGCTGGCCGGGAAGCTTACTAGCAGCACCCAGACACGCAGCAGAAGGGTCCCAGGGGTGGCGGGGCGCGGGGGAAGAGAGCCTAGCAGCTTCGCTGGCCACTTGTCTCCTCCTCTAAACCAAATCCTCTCAGAAAAAGCCAAACAGACTTGTTCCTATAACACCGGTCTCTGTCTATAGTCATGCTCCCTCTATAAAGCTCTATTCTCCTTACCAGTTTTACTTGTTCTCCCATATTTCTTGATACCATTCTACTCAGATTACCTACTTACATTTCTTTTGCTTATATCGTACTTGCCACCTACTACCATCCCTCGTCCCTTGCCCGTCTACCATCCTCTCATACAGTATCTTGTCTCTATTTTTAAGTTGCCCCAATTTTTCCAATTTTCACACATTGTCCGAAATTTTGTCCCCCCCCTTTTCTGTGAAACTCACCTCCCTATCGCCCAACCCCTATCTTCTTCAACTTCCCCTTATCTTGCCTCTTCTATCCCCTGGAATCCCTCCTATCATAAGTATGGTACATCTACAATCCCACCCGTACCCCCCCTCTTTCTACGTCCCATATGTTTCAAAACTGCAATCTGTTTCAATCTGTCGGGGCTGTACCCTATTTCTCTTCATCCTCCGTCTCCGGCTGAGAAACATAACGCGCCAAGATGGGGCCAAACTGCAGTTGGCCTGTGTGTGGATTCCTAGTCAAGAAATGCGGATACGGTCTCCATCTTTCCCAAAACCCGGGCTCCCTCCCCCCTGTGCGCCAGCACCAATGTAGATCTGTCATCAGGGCAATCCTGATGTTCTCTAAGGCACGTTCCTGATATGCCCGTAGCGGCCGGGTCGCACCCTGCCTGCGTCTCTCGTTCCTCCACGTCCACAAGGCCCATAGCACCGCTGCTCTCACAATCTCCTCCGCCATCAATTCCCCAAAGGCAAATTTCTTGACCTTAATCCAGGTTCCCCAGAGGATCTCTGTATCATCCGTCTCATCAACATTCAAGGGCGCCCCATCTGCAACTTATTGTGCCCACCATTGCCAGAATGCCCCGACCTCCGGGCATCTGACAAAAAGATGAGGGATAGTTTCCACCTGGGAATGAAGCATTTTGTGTAATGAGTACTATAATATTCTTTTACTTGGAAACAAAAAAAGAAGAGAGAGAGAGAGAGAGAGAGAGAGAGAGAGAGAGAGAGAGAGAGAGAGAGAGAGAGAGAGAGAGAGAGAGAGAGT